TGTATATTTCCTTTAATTTCAGGTTAAAATAAAGAAAAAAAAATCATCCAACATTTTTTTTTATTAAGCTGTTTCTTGTTCTAAGCTTTTGGCTCAAATGAGCCATCTTCTGAGTGGTTATGCGCACATAGAAGATTGCGATGAGATGATAATGGTCGTGGAATAGAAGATGCAGGTGGTAAAATCATGATGAGGTTCTATGACGCCATACCACATGAGAGACCAAAATATTAACAACAGAACCATATGTCAAGATGCAATATAATGTGTTGTGACTAGTTTGAAATGTAATTTTGTTGAGTGTGGATTGCTTTGTTTTAATGTAGATGGCCTCCAATATATATATATATATATATATATATATATATATATGTGTGTGTGTGTGTGTGTGTGAAAAGTGTATGTATATAAATATAAATAAATATATATATATATATATATATATATAGAGAGAGAGAGAGAGTTTGTCTGACGATTGCAAAAGCGTGAAACCCAGGGTTACAAACTCACATCAATCCAACTATATATATATATATATATATATATATATATATATATATATTATTATCTGAAGTGTCAGGTCTCCATTGAGTTTCTGTTCCATAACACCTTCAGATACATGAAAATCAACACTGTACAGATACAAATTGTTTATGTAGCTAAATAAATGAAATGAAAACATAAAGAAGGGAAAAATTTATCCTCCCTCAAAAGGTTATGAAATTTCATAATAAAAACAAAATAATTATCAGTGAAGGACAATGACTTAACATCATTGCATAGAATATATTAAAAGTGTTTATAAATTTGTAAAGAAATATTACCATTCAAAACTTTGTTCAGGCAACTGAATTGGTTCTTCATAGCATTGATGTTACCAAAATCTTTCAACCAGCACATTCAACAGCCATTTTCAAGTGCATGATTTGTCAGGAAATAGAAACTTTCTTTACCTAGTCTATAGAACAGAGCATCTGAAACATTATGGTAATATCAACAGCACAACAAAGGAATTCTATTGTCCAAAGAAAGCTTTGAAGAAAATTCTATCAATATGATTACTCCATGTGCAAATAATTTCACTTAGAAAGTTCCTATGAAACAGGAAATAATTTATTTTATTAATATTCAAGGACAGACCATTGCTAAGACGAATAGAAATTGTCTAACTTATTTCTTCTGCAAATGAAGGCTACATGCAAGGCAATTCATTGCATTTCAAAATTAGTTGAACTGGTAACCTCATCAGTGTTGAATTTATCCTACCATTTTATGACTACCTTCTTCTATCTTCCTCATGTGTCTATGGTAGAAATTTGTAAAGTGCCAAGTAAAAAAAAAAAAAATTTTCAAATGTGTATTCAAGTGTCTCATTATAAAGTAAAATAAGTTCTGAGAACTTTTTTTATACAACTTATATATATATATATATATATATATAAAGATAGTGATATATAGATTTTTTATATATCAAGAACAGTTCAGTTTCAGAGGAAAGACATACGACAAAATGGGAAAATCTTTGCATGACATGTTTCATCCTTTAGTCTGAGGAAGTCCTAAGGGACAAAACGTGTCACACAAAACCTTTTTCCACATTATAAAGACATTTTTTTTATGTTTATATGTTCTTTTTTAATTGTTAGACTTTGTCCATTTCATAATATATATATATATTAGTGTTAAGGTATGCTACATTTATATGTAAAAGTGCACAATATCTGAGATAGAGTATATGTAAATATAAGTAGACACTGATATCAACACAGAGTAGTAAACAGTTTGTTTTATGCTTGAACACAAGCTTCAGACCTGAAGATTGCGTTCAAGCATAAAACAGCTTGCCACCACTCAGTGTTGACCTCAGAGCTCACTTTATGTATGTATATGATGGTATACTTCCTCACTTTCATGTATAGTAATTGTCTGGTAATGTATCATTCTACAGTTTCACCAGTCCACAACCCAAATCACTTACCCCCAGCAGCAGGGATAAAGTTACCATCAATTTGTGCGTGTTTATTAATACCATAAACACTTTTAGACTTCTGGGTGCATTCACAACATATAGTTTTACCCCTCATGACATTGTTCCTACCAACTCCATGAGGATATTTAAGCCTTGCTTTACTAAGGCAAGCTCTACTGCACTCATTGCCTCATAGTTTATAAAGATGACCCATAGTGAGATCAGCCTGAAATCTCTTTTCATAAAATCCCCTCCATGCTGTCTTCACACAATTTCAAATTCCTGTCGGGCATCATTAAAAATAAAATCCACAGTCATTTTAACTTTCTCCTAAATTTTGATTTATAGGTAAGCTTGTCATTCAGCATCTGTATAGGGCTTCAACCATCTTCTATTCTCTCTTAATCACCTTTCTACCTCAGACAAGCTTCAATAGTCATAGATTCAATACTCTGAAAGTTGTTTTTTCTAATACACTGACATCAGTAACAAGAATCTTCCAATATATACCAAGAGTTATACCTAAAGACACTGCCTGGGAAAAAGCTCATGCTGTCAAGGTTCTCAAAAAACCAACTTAGTAAGCCTTGATTTTGGTCTTAACAGAGATAACATGATGAGACTACAGCTATTCTTCCAGCTTGCCAAATGTGTCTGTTGACTTACAAATTCAGAGAAATTTTTTGACCAGTGCTTAAAGTGAGATTTTTTGTCATGCTTGAAGTGCATGACAAAAAGATAATTTTTGTCATGCTTAAAGTGCTAACTTAGTATGCTATTTCATTCACAATTTACAGCTCTAAACCATAATGGTGGCTAAAACTATGGCTTTCTTGATAGACAAATAACACCTATGTATCTCAAACTGATTAAAAGCCTAAAGACAGAGAAAGCTTTTGAAAAGGAAGTCACCAAGGGCTGTTTATCACTGAGTGAGCATTGCAACATCAAAATCATGTACATATAAAAACTCTTTAATCAATAACAAGACTTGCATTTTAGCAACAAAAAATCTCAAATTAGATGACTAACTGTATGATACCCGATTTAGATCTCATGTGAGGACCCCCTGAGTAACATTTGGTTTGATTTTTAATTATTTCACTCCAAGTAAGGTGATAATGTTACTAAGAAATAAAGGGTTACTGAGAGTGAAAGAAAATGTGAAAACCTTAAAAGAATTCATGAATACAGAAGATGACAACTGGCATTGCATTTAAATTTTTGAAGATTGTACGTGACAGGGAAGCAAGAAACAAAAAGAAAGATCCACAGACAAGAAAATAAATTATTAAAATAGAACTTATAGTTACATCTAGCTAATTCAACAGTAATATGATGGGACCTAGTAGCCAATCTAGTAGTACTCTTAAATTCATGCAGTTGAGATATAAAGGAAGAAAGCTCATTAGAACAACTGCCATGAAAATATTTATGGAAAAAACAGGAAAGTGAGGGGTGTGACTGAAGTTGTGATGCCAAGTCAGGACCTATAACATTGCAGATATTTCTTTGGATTTTGTTGATAATCTCAAGATAATGAAATAAAGTATACAAAGTGTTAGTGCAAATATATGTCCATCTTATAGCTTTGTTGACAAGAATTAGGCATTACAGTTTGCTGCAAACATACACCCATGCCTTCATATCATCATGAAGCAGATGTCAAACCTATTATCACAATAAAAATTTTATAATAAAATTTTGACAAAGTCTGTTTGCTGTATTAAAACCCTTTATGAAATCAACAAATTCTTGATGCAGATCTATTTGCTCTTTAAGGGAATCCATGCTATATTGTGTATCTCTCATTATTCCGGTGTACAGAGAAGTTACACCTTTGGCATTTAAATTTACATTCTTCTCTTACATGATATGTTGCTTCAGGATGTAGGTGATCATGGTTCTCCACAAATTCCTATCCTTTGTAACTCTTAGCAAGGTTTGTCTCATATCCTTCCCAGTCTGTATTCTGCCACCCATTTATATAAGCTCATAAGTTGCTCAATGTGTCTTTCTTGCCTCCAGTATTGTCCTGTGAGAGTCAAATTCTCCAACCTCTCTTTCTTCATAATGTATCCCAGAAATGTCAACTGTCTCTCTTTCATTCTAAGTACAACTTCCTTACTGCTTACATGTTCTGTCCATGGTATTCTCAGTATATTTACATAGAATGACATGACTATTCAAGTCTTTAATTTATTGGAGAAAAAATTATTCACTGCTATATAGGAGGATTGATATTACATAGCAGTTCAACACATTTTGTTTCTAACAAAATTTTACTATTTCTTAATACTTTTCTTAGCTTTTGGAAGGCACCTTTCACAATTCTAAATGTAACCTCAGATTTTGGTGTAGCATTTTCCATTGTCTGTTAAAAAACTTCCTTCATAGATAAATTTATCTCCTTGCATCTTTAGTTGTCTCCCTTACTAATGACAATATATCCTGTCTTCTTACAAACTATTTTTTCTTCTTGTTTTCTTTTACAACCTTGTATAATTCTTGCAGTTTTCTTTATGTGCCTGCCATGATCAATATGATATCATCTGGATATTCTACGTTATTAAGATTGTTCTTCCAAATAATAAATCCTGGTACAACTTTGAGATCTCTGAGGATTATCACATTGTCAAGTTGAAATAACTCCAATGAGAAGAAGATGTATCTTTGTCATACACACCTTTCTAATTTTGTGTACTTGTTGAATTCATTTTCTATCTATATGCAGGCAGTTTGCTCCCAGTAAATATTCCAGATTATTCTAATATCTTTCCCAAATAAATATTTGATAAAATCCAAGGAGAAATATTCTTCCTGATTTCTTTGGTTTTAACACCTAGAATTTTTTTTAAATTTTTCTCCAAAGTGACATTCAGAAGAAAATGGATTACTTTATGTTTTAATTTTCAGATCTGTGCATATTTTTGAACTTGTTGCAGAAACAGAAATAGATTATCACAATACCAACGAAAGCAAAAGTCCATAAATAGAACAAAGTTAAGGCAGAAATGAAATGATACATTACGTTTTCTGTGTTTCCATCGAGTACATCAGTTCTTGGTATGAAGGGTCAGAAGTGAAGTAAGAATTTAAGCTGGAAAAAGAAACAAATAATGAAAAATAAATGTGAAACTGAAAACAAAATGACAGAAATGTATCACCATAAATCACTTTGAGAGAATCAAAAAAAAAAAAAAAAAAAAGACAGAATTAAAATTCAGGCATGACTTATGGAATGGTCTTGACTGTTTGAAATTAAGTAGAGAAAGTGAAAAATTCAGAGTAAAGTGATTGGATGCATTTCAGTCTCAATAATTAATTAAAAATTCATATGAGAGGAAAATAAGAATATGGCTTAAGGTATATTTATAGGAATTCAAATTCCTTCAACCCTGAAACTTTTTAAGAGATCCTTGAAATATTAATATAAATAACAGTAAATGTAAAATAAATTCTCAAGTTAGCAAGATAAATAAAACTCAAACAAAGAAAAAAATCTGAAATTAAATGCTCTTTATATTTCTATGGAAATAATATGTTTATATTGGAAAATATATATATATATATATATATATAAATATATATAAAAGTGAACATTGAAGTCAACACTTAGAGGCGACAGGCTGTTTCATGCTAGATGTAATCGTCAGAACACCTTCTTATATATATATATATATATATATATATATATGTGTGTGTGTGTGTGTGTGTTATGATATACATGTATATATACATAAGTGGAAACACAGAAGTGTGTCTAAAATATAACATTAAATCATCTTTGTTCATATGTGTATACTGGAAATCAAATATATTGATATACTTGAGTTTATATATACAGAGATAGAAAAAAAACATTATAATCAGGTGTTGGTCCTCCATCTGGCCAGGGCTATACAGTCACCCATGCATCAAGGATGAATGCACTGTATGCCATGACATTTCTTTCTTTGAACTGTGAAAAGCTAGCAGTAAATTATATGACAATATCCGTTCTGTTGGCATGTAAAATTAGAACATCATTCAATATGAAATTTCTAAAACAGAACATTCTGAACAACTTTGGATCCTTCACAGTACACACTCCACGAAACATACAAAACCTTTTTTCTGTGTATCAGACACATTTTTAACTTCCTTAAAATAGAAACTATTTGTTAAAAATATTGTTTATTTTCTTCTATCTTCAATGCTTGAATAGATAAAGAAATCAAATGCCAATTTTGAGAAAATTTCAAAAAATGTCAAATTACTAAAACAAGGCATTTTATATATTGGTAAACTGATGCATGTTTCATTTGAATTCTCAAATCAGAATGACACATACACTTTTGAAGTAAAAAATTTATATATATATATATATATATATATATAATCGAGTGTGCCACTATTGAATCTTTCAAATATCTCCATTCCCAAAAGAATTACTTCTTTCCGAATCCAACATGACCATAAAATGCTAAAAAAATCAAAAGAAAATTATTAAATTCACAATCTCCTGTTATCTAATAAATGCCAATATCAGTATGTCACACTTTTTTGATTAAAGGGACACAACTCTCATTAGCTCATCTCCTCCTTCTATATACTAAATGCCAATGTCAGTTTGTCACACATTTTCTACTTTACTCCTAGAGGCCATAGCCCAACATATCATACCATTCTGGCATCAAACTGACTCCATGAGCAAATTAAAAACACACTGGGCCAAATCTGGACACACAATACTGAAATTTTGGATTCCCAAGTTTTTAGTACTATGATTGTTTTCAGCAATGTTTTTACATGTTTTTTGTGACAAATTTTTGTATGATAACAATTTTTATAACTAGGAAATAAATTTGAGAATAATCAAAATTAATCCAGCGAAAGTCACACATGCAATAAGAGTAATTGTTTGTATGCAAAGTAAGGATCTACATACATCAAATTGTCTTTAAATTATGTGATGGCAGAAGAATTATCCTTGAACTTTGAAAAGGTAAGCTTAAATATAAATGCAATACTTAAATGCAGTGAACAATTCTGAGTTCTTCTGTAGTTTATTGTTACCTATCACATCTATTCCTCCCTATCTATTGTGATGAAGGCCCAAATAACCATCCTCCACAGGAGCCAGGTTAAATGCTGGCTAAAAGGGAAGCTTTTAAGCTAATATATATATATATATTTACCTAGACTTTTCAGTTAACCTAATGAATATCTACAAGTGGTTCTTAAATTTTAAAACAACAACATTTCATTTTATTTCAAATAAATCCTACCTTTAGAGTATATTTCTTTTATATATATATATATATATATATATATATATATATATATATGTTTCCTTGTAATAATACAATATATATGTTTGGAGAAAGAATAAATATATATATATATATATATACACACAAGAATACAGGAAGGAAGACACCCAGGGACATAAAAAGATAAGAACAAAGACATTCTTTCTTTCCTCTTTCTCTGACCAAATTTAATTGTTTTATTACCCCTCAAGCAAAGCAACATTTTTTGCTTGTCCAAGATGGATTCCGATGACTACTACTACTACACACAATAGACAATGGCTAAAAGATTTAACATAGGAAGGAAAATTCATTCATTGATAAACTACAAAGAATCAGCAATATTATCACCCCCCAAAAAATGACTTCACATTTATATTATATTCTGAATTTTATTTCTGCTGTTGTTGGATAATTGGCAAAATGTGTCAAAGTTAAAGAAAATTCATAAATTGTCTGATATATTTATGATTCTGCCAGATTTTTACCCAACTACATGTGTGTGTGTAATAAAACTTTCTTTGAAAGTAAGCCCCCTATTGTATTATATTGACCCACAATGCTAGAGGGATATATTGGTGGTAGGGTGTTATAACAACAGAGGTTAAAAATCTGAACCATTAAATTGTGTTTTGTTTTGATACAGAGCATAACCAAACTGAAAGGTGGTAAAATGATATCTGACATGAAAGTAAGTACAAAGTAGAAGTATGTCACTGAATTTCTCCATGTAGGAAAACTTACAATCACTGATATTTATGGAGCATAACATTATGGTAGATTAACTAAAACAAAAAAAATAGAGGTGGGTAATGTATTTCAACAGAAATGTATATGACAAACTATTCACATCTTTTAATCCATAAAATACAGACTCTTGTTTAGGTAAAAAATGATATTGGTAACAATGTAGAATAATAGTGTATTTGCTCTATGCAAGATAATTATTGTGATCCCTGTATCTTATGCAGTATATATGGAAAATTATTCAGAACATTTCTCTTATATATATATATATATATATATATAAATATACATGTAGATATATGTGGTAGGAATCTATACAAAAAGTACACATTCCTTAAATTATTAAAATAGATATGTATTACATATACCCTTCTAAGTGTATATATTTAAATTCTAATTTCTATGAGAATGAAAATGCATATATATATTTATATATAATATATATATAAGTCCAACAATTATTTTAAGACATTTTTTTTTATTTTAAGACATTTTTTTATATATACAAATATTTAAGTAAATTTAAATAAATCTTGTTTATAATAAACAGTATTAACAACATTTACCAGCCTCAATGTCCTAGAAATTTTTCAGGCCAGTAAATGTTCTTAATACTATTTATTATAAACAGAGCATTTACTTAAATATTTGTATCTATAAAAAGAATGTATAAAAAGTAAAAAATGTCTTTATATATATATATATATATATATATATATATATATATGTGTGTGTGTGTGTGTGTTAGTGTGTGTGTGTTTTGATTAGATTGCTGTTTTATAGTGCTATAATAATTTATAATAATTTTCTTATTTCATACACACACACACACACATATATATATACACACATACAAAACAAATGTACATGACTATTGTGTGTGTGTGTGTGTGTGTGTATATATATATATATAAAAGAAGTGTTATGAACAAGCCTATTGATCTGTGAAAGTATGGATTAATATGAAGAAAACCAATAGCTAACAAAAATGTCTGAAAACTAATTATTTTTCGAAAATTCATTTCATAATTTATTAACTGGCTCAATCTTTTTTATTCCTAGCACACCAAATTCCAAATTGTGAATTGAATGTTATTTTTCAGAAAACACTGAAAGTCATGTGAAAGGTCACATGCAAAATTATGACGATATGTTTACATTAGGATTTTTACATGTGTCTCTTAATGTGTATCACAGTTTTCATTAGATCTATGAGAATAAAGAATAAACAAAAAAAATTTCTTCATTCTAAATTAAAGGAACAGAGATGATAGGTTATTTTTCATCATTTATTGTAGCTAATAACTGATACAATGATACTGACATAAGGAAAATCTAGACATCCCTTGTTCAGTTTAAGTAGAATATTCTGTAACCATGGAAACATGATTTTAGCTGTGTCTTTAAAACCCGGTAATTTTTAAAAGTTACTCCAAAATTCGCTTGAAGATGAAATGGAACTAATGCTTTTAATTTAATTGCAAAATTAAATTCGGGGTTTTTAGCTTCTATTTTTGAAACATGGTTGGAACTGTGTAGCGAAAAAAAACCATACTTTAAATCAATTAATTTATAATATTAATGCTCTGTAAATTTACATTGAGCACTATTTTGTAAAAATAAAAATATCTATAAGAACACCGGATTTTATATCTTACTGTTCTTTCTTTTTATTTATATACATATATATATTATGATGAGCTGTGAAACAGCAAAACTGTCTGTCGATGAGTATTTATGCTCTCAAAATAATTCAATTGAGCTCTCAGAGAGGAAGGGGTGATTTTATAAACAGTGGTTGCTGCTGCTGCTAATGCAATGCTCTTCAACTAGAATAAAGCTCTTCTAGACCCTGATGTCTTTTGTATAGTAAAGACATTAAAATTTCCCTTACTCTTTGTCGTGCAATGATAGCCTGGGGGTACAATCTCTGACTGATGCCAAATCGGTTGGGTTTCAATCCCGGCTTGAGCAATTGGAAGTCTAGCCACACTGATGAACTGTGATACAGCAAAACAGTCTGTCTGTGGATGACTATATATATATATATATATATATA